GGCCTGTGTGGAGCTGAACTGGAACAGTAAGTGTGCCACCATAGTTCTGCCTTCCTTCATAACCAGCACGTGCAAGGTGAAGCATCTCAGTTTGTATCACCTGACAGCTTGCAAAACTTTCATTGAGGAAAAATAACGTGCAACAGTTTACAGCTACTCTCCTTCTGAATGTGTGACAATGTGAGCTGAGAATAATATAGGGAGAAATCTGAAATATTCTGCACTTATAAACTGGAATCTACTGGAATCTAGGTTATGTGTAAAAACTGACATGGATCACGAGGTCATGGATCACGAGGTCATGGATCACGAGGTCAAGCTCCCAGTGACCCAGGACCTGCTGGCTGTGCACTGCTGGCTGCAGTAAATGCATTTCTGTGTGCTGGATGAGGAGGACACCTGTGGTTAAGAGCTCTAGAGCATCACAGCACAAAGGAAGGAAAATTAACCAATAGCACCTGCAACAGTACCTCAATTACACAGGATAGCAGGAAGAAAAGTCTCTCAGATTCAGTGAAAAGCCTTTTCTTCAGGGGTGAATGTTAGTTTGAGCATTTTGTTTGTTCTCTTGCTTTTACTGTCTGAACTTCAGAAAGTCGATAAAATGCAATGTCATTCTTAGTGATCCACAGCCACTCTCAATAGGCCCTGATTTGAAATGTGGCTGGAGGTTCTGCCTCCTCCCTCGTCAGACTTAATGAGCCGCTACAGCGCTGTGCGGGTAGGCAGGGGAACCTCTCGTGGCTCATCCTGGGACTGGGGGCCTTTTCCTGTCTCTGTTCCAGTCCGAGGCACCTGGAGTGACCACAGCTGTTACCTGAGGAAGCCCTTTGTGTGCAAGCACAGTTTCTAAAGGAAAACCTCTCCGCTCTGCCTCTGCGCTGTGCTACAGTCATCGCTGACCTCGGGCACTGACCACCGACCACTGACCACCGACCACCGACCACCGACCAGAGCAGCCTTGCCTTCTCCAGGTTCACGAATGGGGGTGGGGGGAGTTTGTCTTCCCCATTTCTGAAGAATTAATATTGGACAAAGGCCACAGTCTTGGAGAGGGATTCATAAGAAATTTCAGATTTTTCAGCAGCAGCTTCCTTGATAACAGTTACAAGTACAATTTGTGATACATTTAAAAGATAAGCAAATGCCAGTTTAAAAGTCCCTTTTAGCTCAGGTTAGAACTTTTAACTGCAGTAGCCTTGATTCACATTTTTGAATAACAACTAAAAAAGCATAAAAAAGCAAACTTCCTTGTCGACAAGGTCATTTTGGTACATGATTAAACTAAGGTCACGCTGCAATCTAGAATGTAATGAAGGAACATTTCATTACAGTAATCCACCCTTCTCTTTTGAGTCTTTGTGTCCTGGTGAGTCTGTGCTACTGTGTCCACTTGGTGTTCTTTGCTTCTGCAATATGAAATAAGCAATAAACTGCATTTGATGAGCATGGAAATATCACCTCAGTGTCCATCTTTATATTTTCTGACTTCTCCTTTTTTGCTGTGGCTTAAATCGTTCTACATCTGACCAGCTGGTTTCTTCATGTACACATAGAGCACTTCAGATACCCTGGAACACAATTCTATAATACAGCTTTAAAAAATGTGGAAAAGGTAACCGTCTCTTTGTCAATCGACTGCTGCTTTAGTTGGCTACCAGCAGGTGGTGCGATCGATGCGGTTTTCTCACTCTGCAGCACGTGGGGTCAGCAGGGGGCGCTCACCCCAAGGTCTGTGTGGGTCCTAATGCCCCAGTATAGTGATGGGGACACTATACTGTAAAAAGGCTCTGTCCTTTAGATGACAC